CCCTGCCGGCCGTGCCCGGAACTGCAGCGAGGGCAGAGCGCCTGCGGCCGGAAGGGTCCCTGGCTCCTGGTTCTGTTTGCTGTGAACGTCAGAGGCGTTTGTCTGCAATGTTATACATACTAGTAAAGAACTGTTATTCCTGTTCCCATATCTTTGCCTGAGAGCCCCTTAATTTCAAAATTATAATAATTCAGAGGGAGGGCATTTACCTTTTCCATTCCAAGGGAGGGTCCTGCCTTCCCTAGCAGACACCTGTCCTTCAAACCAAGGCATTGTCTTACAAAATACTGGGTTAGCACTGTTCCCTCACTGGACTGGCCATTGCTGCCCTGATCATTTGACAGATGCTACAAACCTCCCATTTACCAGCAACCTCTTTTTCTATATATTAGTTGTGCTTACATCATTAATTATTAATTGATATTGTTGATCTATAGATCAAAAAGTCCTGTTTCTCCAAGGCTCCTGCAGTTATTTTTTGGGGCAGCCAGTTTGTATGCACCAGCCCCTTGCTCCAACACTTACACACTTTGCCAAGTTGTCTTATATCAGGCAGTGTGATCAGAGTGCTGGCAGAGTCATTGCAAATACAAGTGTGACATGCTGTAGAGCCCTGCCAGGGAATTTGCGGAAACAAAGGAAAATAACATGAGAAAGAACATTTCAAGCTCCTCTTCCCCAGAGTGCCACTCTTTTGACTTTTTGATTGAGGAGAAGCTCAACCAGCCTTGCTTGGTTTGGCAGGGAAGCCAGTTGCAAGGGGCCAGCAGTCCCTGTGCATCCTGGCCTGGTCAGTGACTCTGGGCCAGTGAGGAGTGGGTCAGGTGGCTGGGAATCCCCAGGAGAGCTGATAAGTTTTAAAAACCACCTGCCAGATGTACCACTATTTGAAGCCACATATCTCACACTGAGAACTTTCTGGCTCTCAGAATAAGGAAAATTCAGGAAAAAAAAAAAAAAAGGAAAAAAATCTGTCTTTCAATTTGCAAGGCACATACCTATGCTGCAGACACCTGTAGGTTCATTTGTGTCCTCTCACCTCGAAAAATACACAGATGCCTTCAAAACAAACACTAAGGGTTGCTCTGCATCACTATCTAAATTAATTTGCAACTTGTACAGCTGAAAAACAGGACTAACTTCAGACACTCAGCCCTTTGCCTGTACTGTACCAAGCACAGAACATAATAGCAGGGTCTTGCTGACTAAGCACTGAAGTCAAGACTCAAATTGCATAACACATTATTTTTCTAATTGAATCTCTTTATCAGAACAACAATCACACACAAACACCCCTGGTTCCTCAGAGTCTGGCTTTGCTGCCCCATACCAAACTTCAGGAAAAAAAATGATCGGGTGCCTGCACCCTTTCACTCACCTTGATGTGCTATCAGGAGGGTGCTGTTGTGTTGCCTTTGCCGTGTGAATTGTAGATCATGGCTGCTGTTGCACCTCTTCTGGCTGCCACCTGAATTTTTTCAGCAAAACTGCAATTGCCTCTTTCAATCAGGGCTATCCACGGTGCTTTCATGACAGTGAAGTCAGTATTTCTGTCGCAGGCATAAAGATCAGCAGATACTGGAATGCCCACCATCCCCTGAGCACTAAGGCAAGGAGAATTAAAGCCATACAGGCTACATTCACAGCGTTCAAACACAGTCCTGTTGAAGTGGAATAAACTGACAGAGGCCTTCACAGAAATTGCCTCTGTAGTGTGGAATGAAATTAAAAAATCCATCAGGAGGAAGAGAAACCAGAACTTCTCAACTCGCTTCATTGCTTCTTTCCAGCAGCAGGAAACTGAGATTTCCATAGGTATTTTCCACTGCCGGCGACCACAGTGACAGGACAGACTGCTGCCAAGTCCCAGCAGGAATCTGACACCAGCCAGGTGAGCTCCTGCAGTGTCGGGAGCTCAGCGCACATGGTGCCAGGTCCAGAGCCCTGGAGACGCCCACTGATGGTAGGGCAGCAATGCAGGCAGAATGTCCTGCAGTCAAAACTTCCTGCTGCTTGCACACAACACTTATCATTCTCCCCCTCCTCCCAGCACAAATTCCACCCCTTGTGATGCTTCCCCAGAGAATGCTCAGGCACCCTGCTCCTGTTTCCACCTGAGTGTAACTGCAGAGGAACAGGTCATCTTTCATGCAGTTACATAAGCCCACAGTTCTCACTTCATGATGAATCTGTGATGTAAATGGCCTTGTTAAGAAGGTCAAAAGCAAAGGGAATGTATTAGTAATTATTAGAAAAAATTACCCTTCTTCAGGCAAGGTTAACCAAGTCATTTCCTGCATTTCTTCTTTTCAAATTCTTTAAACTGCCTACTTGGAGAAGTCCAGCTTCTTCTGGTACTTTGAATGAAGTGGTTGTACTCTTGATTGATGCACCAATGCATGAGATGTGGAAGTCATCTACACTGAACTCAGAAACAAACTGCTTCTGTCAGAACATTTTCACATTCCACATTACTTGCAAGATGTCCACCAAGAGATTTGAATAATTATCACACAACTCTCCACTTCTGGCTGCAGGCACTGGAGACTGTATTCCCTAAAAATTCCCGGTTTCCCTTCATGTTTTCTTAGCATAGAACAGTAACAATGCAAACCTTATCCATGGCACAACTCTATAGTCCACCAGGAAAATAAATGACAAGTTGTCGAATTTTCAAAACCTTTGTCCTAGTTTGCTGCAAGAGTCATGCTGCACACACAGTATGGAAAACCAAGAGAAGCTGTAGTTGGGGGCACATCTTGTGACAGAAGCTTGACCTAGTTCTCCAGGAAAGGGTCTTGAAAAAAGCAAACATCACTGGAAAATTTTGGAAAAGCCAAACAGCTTTCCAGACATGAAATGAAAATAGAAAGAAACAATCCAAGATGCTCACATCTACTGTTAATTCCCTTCCATATATGCTTCCCTTTTTTGTGTTATGCTAGTTCTACATCACAGTAATTTCAAATTGATCTTACCTCAGAGACCTAGGACTTCGCAAGTTTTATGCATTCTACAGTATCATTAGCTACACACAGTTTACCTTCTCCCTATTTTGCTTTGAAAGCAATGCTAGAGACATCAAAAAGCTGCAAATTAAAGATTTGAGAGCACAGTGAGGTCAGCTATGGGTTCTAGAGACAGGGCATGTGCTCCCATAGTATTTCCCCCTCAGCAGTGACAATGCACAGCAGCAACAAAAGGAATTCCTAGGACATTGTACAGTGGTCAAGAGTCCATGTCTTGGCTTAATATGGCAAAGTTCACCTGTTTTGACAGACTCAGGATCCAAACTTGTTGGCTTTTCTACCTGTGTAAATGAACAGCAGGAGAAATAAAGCAGCTAGCAGTTTCTTTGCAGAGAGGGCCTTTGCCTGTCTGCCTTCTCCCTGCCAATCCAGCACTTTCAGCCTGGAGCAGAGTGGTGGGACCACAAACTAACAATGCAGCAGTTCACAAACTGAAGCATAACTTAAGATGGTGGTGCCTCCATAGATTGATCAGAGTAGCACAATTCCAAGTTTATTACAAGCATTGGATATTATCCATCAACACACTGCAGGAGTAATTATCGCTCCTTCCCAGCTTTTACCATGAATATTTCAAATAACTTTTGAGCAGAATAAAACTAAATTCTTTAATGTCTTAAGCAGATTATCTATATTCTGCACCATTCTGATATTTCTTTCAGAGTTAGGATGTCCTAATATGTCAGCGCTACATATTTGAAATGAACTAAGCAGTGCAATGTGGTAACAGCCTTTGCTGCATTTGTGTGAGATCTGCCCAGGGAGAGGCCCACTCACAAATCAACTTATTTTCTTTAAGTACCTGTTGTCCTGCTCCTACCTGTGCACCAGTCTGGGAAGGTCCAGCACTTGGCTCTGCTTTCCTGCCATGCCATGAGCACAAAAGGCATCTTGCATCAGCACAGACTAAAGCTTGGGCATTTTCAAAGAAGTGAAAAAAAGGTACTTTTTAATGTAATTTATTGTCTGTGCCCTCTGTTTATTTCACTGGGCACCACTGAAAGAAGCCTGTTTCCATCATATTTACCCTCCCTGGCCCCCTAAGAGATTTGTATGCATGGATGAGAACCCCTCAAGCCCTCTCCAGCTGGTCCCCATCCCCCAGTCCTCCCAAGCTCTCCAGGCAGTGATGCTCCAGCTGGTGCTGGGCTGTGTGCTCCACCCTTCCAGCTCTTGCACTCCCTGAAACCACACCTTTTACTGCATCAAAGATGTGAAGACACATGGGTGATTCTCTTGGGAAATAAATAGAAGAATTTAATTACACAATGAGAACACTGACTTCATGAAGGCATCTGGATGCTTGTTAGCCAGGCCACTGACTTCACAAGAAATAAAGAAAAAGGGAAGTACATGGCACTTGCTTTTACATGGATGTTCTTGGAAATTAATTTGTGTTCACATGCAGGTCGCACAGACTCTTCAGAGCTTGAACAAACAGTCCAGATCTTTCTATAGGAAATAGAGGAGTTGATGCAAAATGTGCTCTAAAACATAAATTACTCTGAAGATCACATGAACAGTATTTTAGAGAGGTAAGATCGCAAACCTGACCAAAATTTTATATCAGCTTTCAAACCAAAAGATGAACTCAAACTGCATCAGGCATTCAGCCCAAAAGTTTAAAGTAAGTATTACATCAACAGTTAATAAAAGCCTACCTCAAAATGCTTCCGAGATAACAAAAGTTAGACTTGGAGGACACAGAATATCCTGGAAATAAGTTGGAAGGAAAGGCAGATCCACAGCCATTTCTTTTAGGTATTGTTAGGCTTGTAAATTATTCCTGTCTTACAGGCAAACTGAGGTATCAGCCTTTCCCTGCCGGACGAGCCCTGCCGGAGCTCTGCTCTTCCCGAGCCATGGTGGCTGTAACCAGGAGAGCGTTCCCTTCCACCGCCGCTGAGCGAATCCCGGGGAGAAGATCCTGCAGAACACACCTGGCATTTCAGCTGAGCTGCTGTGTTGGACTGGCACCCAAAGGGCAGCAAGAACAGAGGATTCATTCCATTGTTTTAATGCGTTCGTAGCTTCCAATCGGCCGCTGCCGGGAGGGAGCGGCGGCGCTGCCGCGGGCACAGCGCCCCCTGGCGAGCCCGCCCGCTGCAAGGCGCCCGGAGCTCGGCTCTGCTCCCAAAGGCGCTCCGTGCCTGCGGCTCCGCTTCGGCTTCAAGGAACGGCGCTGGGAAGCTGTTAGTACAGGCGCATGTTCCATTTCCTCTCCAGAGAAAATCAAGTGCTGCAATTACGGAAAAGAGATGTTTTTCCCCTAGCACGAGCTCAGTCTCTGCACCATTGGATCAATCTAACTCCACACAAGCAAGACACAAAACACCTGCAGAAAAATCTTCCCGATGACAGCAGTGATAGGACAAAGGGGGTGGCTTCACACTGAGAGAGGACAGGGGTAGATTATATATTGGGAAGAAATTCCTCCCTGTAAGGGTGGTGAGCCACTGGAACAGGTAACCCCAATAAGCTGTGTTTGCCCTATCCCTGGAAGTGTTCCAGGCCAGGTTGGATGGGGCTCTGAATAATCTGGAGAAGTGGAAGGTGATGCTGCCCATGGCAGGAGGGTTGGATCGAGATGATCTCTAAGATCTCTTCCAACCCAAACCATTCTATGACAATTCGATGATGACTATGGTAATGGCAATGACAATGATGACGATGCTTTCCACCAGTGATTTGTTAATCACAGAGGAATGGGAAAGTTGTTACTAATATCTTGACCTCTAAAATTTTCCATAGTAAAAGCTATTTATAGATCATTTTTATCTTACGGGGGTGTGTGTAACAACAAAGGTAAAACTGATAGCAGGTAAAAGGACTTGTGATAGAGGATGAGGAAGGAGTCATCATTAGGGGAGTTTTTTCTCTTTATTCCCTCTCAACAACTTTAAATTATCTGATTTCCTGCACACCTGGACATTGCCCAGAACAAATTACTTAATTGTTTTAAAGTTAAGAAGGTGTGTTATGATGTGAAAACACACATAGTATTGTCCTGTTGTATCAGAAAAATAAGGTGGGCTGGAAAGTTCATTGATTTTATGGTAAAGTCAACAGGAAGGGAGGAGGATGGAGGGAAACTGTGATCAAGGCCAGAAGGCCTAATACACAGCCGAAGTGCTACAATCTCTGTAGCCCTCACAGTAACAGAGAATACAGATAACGGCCCAAGAGGCCAGGTCTGGCCCCAACCAAGAGTCATCTGATAACCCTGGAGGCTGCAGCTCCTGCTTTCATCAGGAGCCCTCGGACTGCTGTCAGCTGCAGCACAGATTTTTCTCTTACTGCTCTGCAAACAAGGCATCTCATATGCAGAGATCTACACAAATGGCAGAGAGGATTAACCACCAAGTCTCCTCAGATCTCTCTGGGAGATGCCACCATAACAGATTCCAGCCAAACAGGAGACTTCCTTCCTCAGCCCTGTGAACATCTCTGCTGTTTCTACATTCCCAAGTACTTTTTGGCTCTTAACACTATGCTGCAATGATCACCCCTCTCACAGGTTTTCCCAGTTTTACCTAAAGGACAAAACAGCCCCACACTTTGCCCTGAAGAATAGAGACAGGATGCTTCTGCTATGCTGATTAGATGAAAAACTAATTTTGTCCTCACTGTGTATAACACAGCTGACTACTGCCCTGATGAATAAACCTTCTTTGCTGCCAAATAAATCATACTACCCACTAAGGTCTTACAACACAACTATGGGAAATAATTCTATAAAAATCACAATTTGTCTTTGAGAAAA